AATGTCATTTTTAAATTTGATGCTAATGTTTGTTATGTGAAATCTCAGGTTACCAAAGAGATCCTTTTCCAAGGGACACTTCAGAATAACTTGTATGTCTTTGATGGAGCACCAAGATTATAAAGAAGCACTCAAACTGCCTTCAGCACTAAAATTTCTCCATTACATACTAATACTGTATTTCTAAATTCTAGTAATTCCATTTTGTCTAATAATGCCTTACATCTTTGGCATTCTAGACTTGCTCATGCTTCATTTCAAACTTTCAAAAAGGTACTTAGACAATGCAATGTTCCTTTTATCAAGAAAAATAATCAAAATTTATGTTGTGCTTATTGTATGGCAAAAATGCACCAGCTACACTTACTTGCATCTGACACCACTTACACTGCTCCTCTTGAACTTATTCTAACTGATATTTGGGGACCAGCACCCATAGATAGTAGAACTAGAGCTAAATACTATATTATCTTTGTAGATGCCTTCTCCAATTTTACTTGGTTTTATCCTATGATAGTTAAGTCACAAGCTTTTGATATATTCCTTACCTTTAAATCTATGGCAAAACTGCAATTAAACACTAAAATTAAGGCTTTACAAACTGATAATGCAAAAGAAAATCTTAAATTCATTACCTATCTGTAGGAACAAGGCATAATTCATAGACTCACATGTCCTTACACACATCAACAAAATGGTAAACCTGAGAGAAAACATAGACATATTGTAGAATGTGGATTAACTCTCCTAGCTAGCTCTCACCTACCAACCAAGTTCTGGGACAATGCCTTCCATACAGCTACCTTTGTCATTAACAACTGTCTACACTAACTCTTCTCAACAAATCTCAATTTGAGGTACTCTTTCATAAAACCCCATATTACTCTTTTCTTAGGACCTTTGGTTGTGCCTGCTACCTATACTTTAGACCCTACAACAAAAATAAAATAAACTTTAGATCAACTCAGTGCACCTTTATTGGATACAACCCAAGACACAAAGGATAGAAATGTCGTACCTCTACTAATCAAGTCATCATAGCTAGGCATGTCCTCTTTGATGAATCTCTCTTCCTTTACAAAGATAAATTATCACCAACCCTCCCTGCCATCACCCCTCCACCACCTCTCGTCATTCCTATTGTTTCCACTTCCTCATCCCCTATTAATCATGCTAGACCTGATAACACAGTGACTGTTTCTACTAATACTTTAATTGCTAGCTCTACTAACACAGATTGCAGGTCCATTGCTCCTATTAACTCTGTTAGCAGCACACCTCCTCCTGCACTGGTAACACCCCTGCAAAATACACATTCCATGATCACTATAGGCAAAGCTAGAATTTACAAACCCAAAGCTCTTACCATATCTATTGAGCCCAACAATGTTTCTCAAGCTCTTGCTAATCCCTATTGGCTGAAAGCCATGCAGGAAGAACATCAGGCACTCACCAACAATAATACTTGGAAGCTTATACCTCTACCTCTAGACAGGACCCCCATTGGTTGCAAATGGGTCTATCGCATAAAGTACAATCCAGATGGAACTATCCTTAAACACGAAGCTCGCCTTGTTGCCAAGGGCTATCATCAACATGAAGGTTTTGATTATTAAGAAACCTTCAGCCCAATAGTCAAATCTGCCATAATTCGAATTGTTCTTACTCTTGCTCTTTCCAGAAATTGGCCCATTCACCAGTTAGACATAAACAATGCCTTTTTAAATGGTGATCTCATTGAGGAGGTCTTTATGCAACAACCTCCTGATTTTCTTCATGTAGATAAAACACTAGTATGCCATCTCAACAAAGCCATTTATGACCTCAAACAAGCTCCACGTGCATGGTTTGATAAGCTTTATGCCACTCTTTATCATCTCGGGTTCACATCTGCAAAATGTGACAGCTCCCTATTCATTCACATTACCAGTACCACAAATCTTTATGTTCTTGTCTATGTGGATGACATTTTTGGTTATTGGATCATCTGCTTCTGCGGTTACAACTCTTATTCATGCTCTTAATCAGGCGTTTCCCTTAAAAGTTCTTGGACATCTACATTACTTTCTAAGTATCGAAGCTCATAAGACTTCTACAGGTGGCTACCATCTTAGTCAATCAAAATACATCCTAGATCTTCTACAGAAAGCAAACATGATTGGTTGCAAACCTATGCCTACGCCAATGGTGTCATCATGCAAACTTTCTGCTCAAAATGGCTCACCACACCCAGATCCAACTCAATGTTACTTTGTTGTTGGTGCTCTTCAGTGCGCAACAATTACCAAACCAGACAATACCTTATGTGTTAATAAAGTCTGTCAATTTATGCACAACTCTCTTAATACTCACTGGAAAGCTGTTAAACAGATACTTAGTTACCTCAGTGGCATTGCATCCCATGGACTTACTATACAACCCTCAAAGCACTTTCATCTTGCAGCTTACAGTAATTTTGATTGGGATTCTGATTTAGACGATCGCCGCTCCACTAGTGGCTTATGCGTATTCTTTGGCAACAATCTTATCTCCAGGTCTTCAAAGAAGTAGCTTGTCGTCAACAGATCCAGCACAGAAGCTGAATACCGGTGCCTGACTTCCACCATCGCTGAGCTTACATGGATTCAGTCTCTTCTTTCTAAACTTCATGTTTGAATTCCACGACCATCAACCATTTACTGTGACAATCTTTCATCTGTCATGCTTTCAGCTAACCGTGTGTTTCACTCAAGGACCAAACATTTTGAGCTTAATCTTCATTTTGTTCGAGAAAAAGTCACCAACAACCTTGTTTCCATTCATCATATTCCAGGGTCAGAACAAATAGTTGATGGACTCACTAAAGCTGTTGCCTCCACAAAATTTATGGACTTTAAATCCAAGCTTCGGGTTTTGGACTTCAAGCCCACTCAGCTTGTGGGGGGATGAAAGGATATATGAACCTATTGGGCCAACTGGGCCCAACTGTACTGTAATTAACTTTTAGTTATTCAGTTTTAGCAGTTATCCAAATAATACAACATAATATATAATGTAATCCATTCATCTGTTTTGATATCAATCACATAATATTCAATATACAAAAATCATTCAGTATTCAAGATTCTCTTCTTTTTACATCAAGATTCTGATATCTTTCAAAGTCCATCATATAATATAAAACCTCAATAAGAGGCCAATGTAACCTCTCAATATCATCACCAAAGCTCCTGTTGGTTGTACAATGTTCTTAGGTTCAAGCCCGATGAGTGTGTGAGGTAAATGATAGTGTACTATTTGATAGGAGCTAATTAATCTTGCAAAATCTTTACAACCAAATAAAATAAATATAGAATAAATATTTACCCTATGATTAAAACTGGTACGAATTATTAAACCAATTATTTATAAGAAAAATATGGATATCAAAATGAAGGAATACAAGCATATAAACAATGGGTTTGATGTTTGTCATTTTAAATGACATAAGTTATGTCATTTTAGGAGAGAGATAGACACAAAAAATGAAAATCACGGGAGAGAGAAAAGTGGGTGATTTTTTTTTTAACTTAAAATTTTAAATAAAAAATTTATTTTGTGTCTATCTCTCTCTTAAAATGACGTAACTTTATGTCATTTAAAATGACAAACACTTTTCCCATAAACAATATAAAAAAGAAAAAGAAAAACGAATGAAACAAAAAAATATTTACAAAAATGACAAAATAAAATAATTAAAAAAATATGTGAAAATTATTGAAAATTTACACAACTAATTATAATAGGAATATTGAGTCTCCAACCCTCTTTAATGGATTTGCTAAATTGTCAAAACATGCCCAAATGGTGTTGTGACAAGAGGCAACTAAAAGGTATCAAAGATTAATTGAAGTCATCTCCAACTTTGTATAAATTATGAAAAATTGAAAAAAAAATCCTTTTTATGTAGTTTTTATAATATTTTAACAATTCAATAAAGTATATCTTTTTATCAATGTTATCCCTTATTTTTTAGCATTAAGACAATACATTGTATCATTAAGATTGTTTACGAGCGATATGAATTGAATCAAGAACGATTTTAATTATATGAACTCATTTGATTTTTTTTATAGAGGAACTAAATTAAAAATAACGCTACATTGGGGACAAAAAAAATAATTAAACTTTTTTTTTTTAAGATTTAGTGTTGAGATAAAATTATCTTCGGGTTATCCCAAAATAACATTGATGTTAATAGAAAAAAATAATTATAAAAATGTTTGGTGTTTGTCATTGTAAATGACATATGTTGTCATTTTAAGAGAGATAGACACAAGGAATGAAGATCATAAAAGAGAAAGTAGGTGATTTTTTTTTTAAATTTAAATTTTAAATAAAAAATATTTTCTTATGTCTATCTCTCTCTTAAAATGACATAAGTTATCAAAAAAAAAAAAATGACAAACACTTATATCTTATAAAAACTAATATATCCTCATAATAAATTAAAGAGTAAACACCTTTTTTGTCCCTAACAAAAAACGCGGTCTCCACTTTAGTCCCTTACAAAAATAAATTAGTCTGTTAGTCCTTAACAAATTCAAAGTGGACCAATTTTAGTCCTTTTGAGGGACTAATATGGGTCTTTTTTGAATTTGTGAGGGACCACGATTTCAACTAAATGAGTCCACTTTGAATTTGTTAAGGACTAACTGACTAATTTATTTTTGTAAGGGACTAAAGTGGAGACCGTGTTTTTTGTTAGGGATCAAAAATAGTATTTACTCAAATTAAAATTTAGAACTGTAAAAATTTAGCAAAAAAAAATTAGAACTGTAAAAATACCTTTCTCTTGTTACCAAAAAAATAAAATAAAAATACCTTTCTCCTAATCAGAAATAAATTATTTTTAATGACAGAAAGAAACATTAAATTCTTTTTAAAACACCTTTTTTTTTTTGGGGGGGTAAATTATAACTTGCACTTTATTAGCGCGTTACTCCTTACGAATCAAATTCTTTACTTCGGACTCTGTTGTGCGCTCTGAAACTGGAGAGTGCTCGCACGCTAAACAGCACACCGCGTCCACCTAACGCAGACGCACACATAGCATTTGTGAACTTCCTCCTCTCTCCGCTTCACCTGCACACTCCCCCGAAGCTCTTAACTCTCTATACGGTAGTAGTAATTTCTCGAATCGAACAAACGGTGCGTTTTGGTACATGAACGCAAACACTGACTCATCTATTTATTTGCTTGCTGTGCTTAGCAGAGTTTCGGAAGAACATGGGTCCCATCAAGATCGACGAGGTCGAAGGAGAGGTAATCGGCACCACCGATTACTTCTTCGTGAAGATAGGAGAGGCCGTTCCATTGAAGGACAATGATTCCCATTTCGATCTCGAAACCCTTCCCTCTCAACCTCTCGCACTCTCCGAACGCTTTCGCCTCATTTTCGTTGCTCATTCTTCAGGTAACACTTAACTAAACTAAACGTGGTTTTTCAAAAAATTAAATTAAATATTTGTTTATTTATTTTCTGTTTTAGGTTTTTTTGTTGCGAGGACTAAGGATCTTATTGATTCCGCCAAAGAATTTGAGGACAAGGGAAGTGGCTCTTCGTTGCAGCAGTTGAGTCTCGTTAATGTTTCTCTTGGGAGGGTTCGCATATTGGCTCTTTCTAACGACAATTCAACGCTCGCAGCTTCTGTCTCCGGTGAAATACGATTTTACTCTGTTGATAGCTTTCTCAATAAGGTATGATATAAACCATAACTTTTCTCTGACATTTATTTTTTTAGGTCTAAGCTCCCTCTTGTTTTAGGTTTTCTTCATGATTTCCTTTGTTATCATTGCGCTAAATGTTGGTGTAATTGAATCCGGTACTTTGATATGTAGTATACATGCTTTGCTGAAGGGTGAAATGCCTGTTGCTTTGGCTTTTGCATGGTCAACTTGTTAGTAGCTTTCTACTTTGTTGAAATAGAGTGTGTTAAGGAGAAATCGTGTCTTGAGTACACACAATCCATCTTATTTATACGAGAGAGTAAATTAAGTACAAGAGCTAATAGGGACTAATTTTAGATCTAATCAAAGGCTATTAACTGTAGTGATGATGACTAAGTTCACTAATATTCAAACATGTGATAAATATGTTTATGAGTCTAGGCTAATATTCTAATACTCCCCCTCAAGCTGGAGCTAATTAAGCTCGTAGCTTGTTAAAAATAGACATAGAAACAAAAATTAAAGACCAAGACCTAAAATAAATCTGACAATCTCCACTAAAGAACTTAGGCCACTAGCACTCCCCAGTCCCCATGAACAAAAAAACCTTTTGGTGATGTCCTTGGTAGATAGATCACTGTGAAAGCCAAGAACTGCGTTTGCTACCTTCCAAATTCTCCTAGCTATCTCTTCCCTTATGTGGCTGGTACTCCCTTGTGCGTTATCTCTTCCTTTAATAGATTTCTTTTAAAGTATAATTGTTTTCCTCCTTATCATAAAACTATAATTATTTCCTTCCTTATGCTGCCACCACTTGATCCTTAGATTTATAACATGACGATTACTCCTTGACCTCTTCATGGCATGCATGTCCAAAACGAAAACCCTAGGCTGGTAGGTTTGCCTCTCTTTTGATATGACTTTGAAATTCTTACACATCGTTTTCCCCTTAACATTTGATTCACCAAGACCATACTTACCGTGGAGCCTCTTGACCTCCCTTGGTGAGTAAATAGCTTCTGCTTTCTTTTGGGACATCAGGTTATCTGGAGTAAGTTTGCCTTAGACCAGAATGGGTGGGTTGTTCATACAGCTGGCCTAGCATCTCATTTTAGTTGTGGAAATTTATTTCTCAAAGTTACCAATTGGGTTGGAGATTCCTCTTAGTTTGGCTTTCCCAAGGCTTCATTGACTTTTCAAGACTATAATGAAAAGTAAAGGAAAAGGTGTGAAAGAAAATAGAAAGAAGAGAGAGTATGCATGTAGTATTTATAGTTGAAGGTAGCTTCCTAATCCCTAATCCATTACCAATTCATTGAATAGAGTTTCATTCCACCTTGATATACCTATTTGGACGTCCAAAACTCCCTATAAGGTTAAGTCCTTTATTTGGACAAAAGTGCTTAGTGGAATTAATACTGATGACATGTTGCAGGTTTGTAGGCCATATAAGGCTATTTCCTTGATGTCAAAGGAGGATAGAAATCCTCATAAACACAAAGCAAAAAAGAGAGAAAGAAAAATTATAAAATGCAGCAAAGCTGCCCAATCTATATAAATTTTGGCATTGTTTGTATGCTAGATATCTCTATCTACAAAGCAATTTGTATGTTTGAAATGTTGTATGCCAAATAAAATTTAATATTTATATTGTATTATCGTTGTTCACGTTGTGAAGCAAATATTTTTCCTGTTCACTATGTTCGACCTTTGACAAGGACATGCGACATTTATATTGATATTGTATTATCATTGTTCAGGAAGTGAAGCAATCCTTTTCCTGTTCACTTAAGGATTCAAACTTTGTTAAGGACATGCGATGGATAACTACATCAGAAAATTCTTATGTTGTTCTTTCAAATACTGGGGAACTATATTATGGAGAGGCTGGTTTTCCCCTTAAAAATGTGATGGACAGTGTTGAAGCTGGTATGCTTTATTCTTCTGTTTTTTACTTATCACTTGAATATGTTCATGCTCCATTATCAATACGTAGTATGGTTGATTTTGAAATTTGAATTTCAATGGACTACATTATATATATCTTTTTATCATTGTTTTATTTATTATTATTATTGTTGTTTTTTGTCATTGTCTTGGTTGGTAGGAAATGAATTTAAACCTGCTTGTTGCTCTTTCTATGCATTACCAAGATGCTTCTTTCTCTCTATCTCTCCCCCTTCCCCTCTAAACTCTCTTCATATCTGAATAGGGCAGGATGTTTGACTTGCATTAGAATATTCCAATTGCAAGCTTGGTTCACAGCATTTTTCTTATTTTGGCATTCCAATTACTTGTTTTAATTTATTTCTTTGTGAAGTTGATTGGGGTGTAAAAGGGACATTTGTTGCCGTGGCAAGAAAGAATGTTCTGAGCATTTTATCGGCTAAGTTTGAAGAAAGGGTTTCGATTTCACTACCCTTTGGATCCTGGAATGGTGATTCTGAGGCGAATTGTAGCATAAAAGGTTTGCATTTTCTTTTTCATTTCTCTACTTTAATTTATATATGTAGTGCATATGTATTTGTGTGTGTATAAATTATTTTGTACTTCCATCTGTTAGTTTTTCATATATTTGTTAAATGCACCTCTGGTTCAATGATTCAATCAAATTGGTGGTTTATAACACAAAGCTATCAAAACAAAAGTCGTCATCATCAAGAACACCTTTATCCCAATTAGTTGGGGTCGGTGTATCAAAACAAAAGTGGATTTAATTAAAAAAAAAAGGAAGTTGCTTTTCCATTGCCTAATTCCTCTTTAATCTTGGAAGCAAGATTTAGTCTCTCTACTTGCAACCACAATAAAAAGTAGCAGCATAGAGGCAACTAGAGATCCACCTCCTAAATCAACCTTTTTTCAATAAAAGAATATGGGCTTGGGCTTTGTATTCTTCTAGTTATACCTTTAAATATTTTTATTCTAAATTTAGCTGTTCAAAATTTCTTGTCACCCTTGTCTCTTCGGAAGTTTAAGGCTCCCTTGAAGGTAAAGAGTGATTAGTCATTGTCATGTTGAATGAAGACAAATGAAACACTCAGGTTAGAGGATACTATGTGGGTGTAGGAGATGAATTCGTGTAGTCTCCATATGAAGTGCTAGGTGAAGGGTTGTTGAATGAAGACAAATAAAACACTTAGGTTAGAGGATTCAGTTATGCGAATTGGGTTGGTTCTCTTGTTGACGTTCTACATTCAAATACTATATCTTTGTTGGTGGTAATCTGGTATCTTGGAAAAATCAGAAGCAGAATAATGTTGCTTGATTTAGTGTAGAAGCTGAATATTGAGCCATGTCTATGGCTACTTGTGAGCTCATTTGTGTAAAACAATAACTTGAAGAATTGAAGTTTGGAGACACTAAACAAATGAAGTGTGAATAGACAAATAGGCATGCAATTAAGGTTTGGCCTGAACCAGAAAATTGTTTAGCTCATCTTAGGAAATTGCAATTAAAAGCAGGTAGTGGGAGTGTGAACACACAAATAGGAGTATCAATAGTCCCACCCATTTTCATGTTGCTTGAATTTTTTTGGTGTTTTTAAGTCAATACATGGTGTTTATTATTTGCTGTGCACTAAAGTCTTTCACGAACAATTGTACCAGTTGATTCTGTCAAGTGCGTTCGACCTGATTCCATTATAATTGGATGCTTTCAACTTACTGAAGATGGCAAGGAGGAAAATTATCTTATCCAAATTATTAGAAGCAGAGTTGGTGAAATTACCGATGTAAGTACAAAATCCTTACTGTGCTTTTGAATAATCATAAGCTGCCTATGCACGTCTACATATCACCATTGATATGAGACTTCAGAAGGCGGAGATAATGGCTGCATGCTCTCATCTTGAAACTGAATATTTGCTTGTCATTTTGCTTGCTTTCTGGTAAAGTGAATATTTGAACTTCAGCTTTATTTGATGATATTGTAATTCACACCTGTTGTTTTGGTGGATGATTCATACCTGTTGTTTTCATGTGTTATTAGTTTTCATTAGGGACATGCATATGCTTGTGTAAAAGGTCACAACATTGTACACATGTTTTTAGAACATCGAGTACCATCTTGAGAGATGTCCAGAATCATTTTTGCATGTGAGACCTTTTCTTTCAAAACTTGAGTTTAGACTAATAACAGATTACATATATTATCCCTGTGGTGTGCAGCAGACTAACTTCAGAGAGGAAAAGGTGAAGATGGTGGATGGAATTGTGTTAGATTACATTTGCAAAACCATCTACTGTCTCTTGCTTTACAGCTTGGGTTTAAGTGAAGTAGTTCTTTAACTAGTTATCTAAATTTGGTTGACCAAGTGATCAAGGGTTTATTTCTTGCATCCTGTCAGAATACATTTTAGACTGCTGTTTAATTTAAATATTTAGTAGTTTTTCATTATGTTTAAACTGTAATGTCAGGAAAGGTGTTGGATGAATGAGAAGAGTATAATGCATAATTAGAGGATAAGAAAACAATTTATCCTCTAGAAGAAGAAAAAATGAAATGAAGATCATAGCACAATGACAACACCTAAAAAATAAACCCTTCCAACCCCACGAAGAAAACTCCCTGAATTACAATTATTAGGCTTCCATGAGGAAGCCAAATATTGTAAAATTACAATTACTGCTCCAATACTGTGAATTGGACGAGGCAAGAAATGCTATACTAACTTGCACACTTTTTCTGTGCTCAAACGAAAGTCAACTGATAAGTTCGGACAGGGCACCTTTGAGCAAGTCTTTCACTCATGGCTACTTCTGGAACATCTGTATTTAAATAATGAAAATTTGTCCAACCCCTCATGGCAAAACCAATACCTGCAAAAAAATTGCTAAATAGTCTACCCCTGTATACTGAGTATTTGAGCAGTTTAAATCTAAGTGACTTGCAGAATTGTTAGTCTAGTATTCAAATATTCAAAGAGAAACGAAGAAAAAAGGGGAAGAGAAGAGAAGGCTAAAATATTTTATTTCTGACTTAATAAAAAAGAGGCACTGTACAATACATATATAGAGGAGCTGTGGGACAACACAGCAAGAAAAGGAATGTTCTAGAATATGTACATCTCATCCTATTCTAACAGATAAAATTGCAAAGAATATAATTACAATAATATCCCTAATATGCCCCCGCAAACTTATGGGTGTGGAGAGAGCTATGTGGAATCCAGAACCATGAGTTTGGTTCTACTATCAGTAAAGCGGGCAGTAGAGAGAGGCTTGGTTAAGGTGTCAGCAATTTGTTCATAGGCTGGAACATGAGATACTTGAAGTTGTTTAGCAAGGACCTTTTCACAGATGAAGAAAATATCTAATTCCATATGTTTAGTTTTGGCATGCAGAACAGGGTTATGAGAAAGTGCAACTGTACTTAGATTATCACAAAAAACAAGAGGCACTTGAGTAGGGACAATGATTGAATCCAAATTAATTCAGCAGCTGTTAAGGCAAGACTTATGTATTTTGCTTCGGTACTTGAACGAGCTACAAGAGTTTGTTTCTTTGACCACCAAGAAATCAAATTAGGACCCAAAAAAAATACAAGCACCAGATGGTGATCTGCGATCATCTGGATCGCTTCCCCAATCTGCATCACAAAATGCAGTTAGAGGCATGGCAGTGGCTGGATCAACAGAACGAAGGAGAAGACCAAAAGAAATGGTTCCATTGAGATATCTAAGAATTATGTTAACAAGCTTTCAATGCTCCTCAAGAGGTTGACTCATGAATTGACAAGCTTTGTTTACAGCAAAGCTAATTTTTGGTCTTGTTAAAGTTGCATATTGCAAAGCACCAAGAACAGACCTATATTGATAAGAATTTGGGTGGTAATCAGCACCATATCGAGACAGTTTACTGCCACCAATCATGGGAGTGGATATCCCTTTTGCATCAGCCATATCAGTCTTGACCAAAAGATCTTTAATATATTTTGATTGAGAAAGAAAAAGAGCACCTGAAGAAAGTCTTTTAACTTAAATGCCAAGAAAATAATCAAGTGCGCCAAAAAAATAATCAAGCTCACCAAGATCCTTAAGTGCAAACCGGGAATGAAGATGGGAAATAATTTGTTCAATAAATTTGGCATCATTACCGGTGACAATGACATCATCCACATAAACCAGAATATAAATGCAGTGAGATGTGGTGCGAAGAATAAATAGAGAAAGATCACACTGGCTGGTCTTGAACCCCAATTGGAAGAAAGTCTCCTTAAGTTTGTCAAACCAGGCCTGTGGTGCTTGTTTAAGGCCATAGAGAGCTTTGTGAAGTCTACAAACAAAAATCTTGTCATGTGATTCAAAGCCAGGTGGTTGTTGCATATACACCTCTTCCTCTAAAACACCATTGAGAAATGCATTATTTACATCAAGTTGCCTAAGAGTCTAGCCAAAGGAAAGAGCAAGAGTTAGTATGATACAGACAGTTATAGGTTTTATAGCAGGAGAAAATGTTTTACCATAATCAAATCCAGGCGGTTGATGAAAGCCCTTTGCTACTAAATGAGCCTTGTATTTATTTACAAAAACATCTAGGTTTCCTTTAATACGAAAAACCCATTTACATCCTGTTGCTTTTCTGCTAGGGGGAGAGACACTAGGGACCAAGTAGCATTGGTGTGTAAGGCAGTAAGCTCATCTTGCATAGCCTCAAGCCACTTAGGATTGGCCAAAGCTTGTTTAACAGATGTAGGCTCCATAGAAGTAACAAAACAGAGGGTTTAGCTACTGTTTTGGACCGTGTTGTGATGGATCTGGCTGGTGAAGGAGTGCCAAGAGATGATGAAGGTAGGGTTGAGCTGCTGTTTTGGACCGTGTTGTGATGGATCTGGCTGGTGAAGGAGTGCCAAGAGATGATGAAGGTAAGTACTATGATGGAGAGGATGATGTTCGAGAAGAAGGAGAAGAAAATGATTCTGGAGTAGATGGTGCAGAAGAAATAGGCGATGGAAATGTGGTAACAAGTAGAGAATTAATGTTATCAGAGGATGAGGTAGGATTAGAAGAAATGTTTTGAGTATATGGAGAAGAAGAGGAAACATGCGGACTGCCAACCGAAGAAGAGGTGCTGTTAGAAGATGATGCAGTAAAAGGAAGGTTATGACATGGTGCCTGTTCAACAAGTGTTTTTGGTATTGGAATGGTGAGACTGAATCCAGGAATTGGATTTTGATAGGAAGTATCCTTGGAGAACAAAGTAAGATAAGGAAATCTAGTTTCATGAAAAAACACATCTTTAGAAACATACAATCTGCCATCAACACGTAAGCATTTATAACCTTTGTGATTGGATGAATAACCAAGAAACAAACACTCTTGAGATTTGAATTGGAGTTTATGCTGATTATAAGGTCTCATGTGATGATAACAAGCACAGCCAAATACCTTGAGAAAGGTGTAATCAGGAATTGTTTTGTACAACTTTGTACACGGAACTTCAAAGTTCAAGGCTGTAGTGGGTAGTCTATTAATGAGATAAACAGCCGAAAGAAAAGCATGATCCCATAACTTTTGAGGCAAAGAAGCATGAAATTACATTGTTAATCTCATATCAACAATTTGTCTATGTTCCGCTCAACAAGACCATTTTGATGGTTGTGTGGGGACAAATAAGTCTGTGAATGATACTAACAGTGTCAAGATACTTTGTGAAAGGTCTAAATTCAACCCCCCCCCCCCCACACACACACACACACCAAAAAAAAATCTGTTTGGATAGCTTTAATGGAAGCTTTAAACTGGGTTTGAATTAATGAATGAAATTGTTTGAACCCATCTATTGCTTTAGATTTTTGTTTAACAAGAAAAATCCATGTAAAGCGTGTGTGAGCATCTACAAAGGTTATGTAATAGGAATATCCCATGGTGGACAACATAGGAGCAGGACCCCAAAGATCACTAAACACCAAGTCAAATGGTTCGGCATAAACAGTAGTTGAGGGATAAGAAGATAGTCTATGGGACTTGCCCATATAGCATGCTGGGCAAAAATTAAAAGAACTTTTATTACTGAACTGAATGTTACAAGATTTCAAGACAATTTTTAAAGCCTTATGATGAGGATGACCTACGCTATAGTGCCAAAGGGCATAAGATGTGTCTATATGAACACTAGTTGTAAAATAAGCTGAGGATGAGGATGAGTCACTTGAATCAGAGAAAGATGCTAGAAGAACAGTGTAGAAACAAGATGGAGCACATGTTGATAATGGATGAAGAGAAATGTCTTTGAACCGATATAATGCATCACTACCAAGAACACCTTCAAGAAGAATTTGGTGAGATTCTTATGATTTCACAAAGCAAGAGTGAGGATGAAATTCAAAATAAATAAAATTATCTTTGGCAAATTAACTCACACTAACCAAATTCTTTATTATAGATGGAACCAAAAGAAGATTATTGAGAAATAGAGTAGTGTGTGGTTTAAAAGGAGATGAAAATTGTGAAGAGCCTACTACTGTTATAGCCAAACCTTGACCATTTCCTAGCATGACTTGATCAACTCCATTCAGTTGTGTACTTTGAAGAACATTTTGTGGGTCTGAGGTGACATGATGGGACGCCCCAGAATCTGGAAACCACTCCAAACCTTGCTGAGATGATGGAGGAGTAGGAAGAAGGCCTTGATGGTTATATAGAATGGTTTGAGTGGTCAATAAAGCATGGGGTTGAGGCTGATTTTGTTGAATGCCCTGTTGTGATTGTTGGAGGGTGTTTTAGAATGTGTTTATGCCAAAGAAAGATAGAATTTAAGACTGATTAACACCTTGTTGTGCTTGTGATGTTTTGGTAAAATATGGCTGATATAGTTGAGGAGGCAAGATGCTTTGATGTGGTGAAAAGGGTGGTGTTTGTGAGGTTAAATATTGAGAATTAGAAGGTGGTGGCTGTGTGGGTACAAAAGTAGATGGTGGCTGTGTGGGTACAAAAGTGGGGTCAAAACGATGCCAGCATGAGTGAACCTCATGTCCAATTTTGTAACACAGTTGGCACTGCAAATTACTTCTTCCACGTCCTCTACCTCTGTTTACTCTTCCATTAGAGCGGCCTCTACCTTGTCCAGCTAAATCAGATGCCCCCTAAATATTGGGAGGCGTTGCTGCATGCTCTCTTCTGAAGACTGAAAAACGGGCACACAGAGACTGGTTTGGGGTTTAGAGGGAACAAATGCAATAGGATGGATATTTGGGTAATGAGTTGCATTAACATATATTGAATCACTAAGCAGGACTAGGGATGTGCATGGGTCGAACCGAACCGTTTTTTTTGAAAAACCGAACCGAATTGGTTCAAAACTGGTTCGGTTCAAAACTGGTTCGGAAACGGTTCGGGTCGACTCTCTTTTGAAAAGAAAAAAAATTAAAAATTTAAAAAATAAATTTATAAAAATCAATTTGGTTCAGTTCGGAAACGGTTCGGTTCGGTTCAAAATGGTTCGGTTCTTAAACTGGTTCTAAAAACCGGTTCGGTTCTTAAACTGGTTCTAAAAACCGGTTCGGTTCATGAACTGGTTTTTAGAAATCGGTTATTTTAAGGGGCGGTTCGGTTCGGTTCGTGGTTCGGTTCAGTCTTTTGGTTATTTTGCACACCCCTAAACAGGACTCTTGATGTTTAAGGAACCTAGACTCGAGACAACAGCTCAATTTGAAGGTCATGAACAGAAAGTGGGCTTTCATGGGCATGAACAGTTGTAATAAAAGAGTCATACTCTCGAGGAAGTCCTTCAAGTATAAGCTCAACTTGTTCTTCATCGGATATTGGAGATCCGATGGCCATGAGTCCGTCTATGAGTGTTTTAATTTGAGCAAGGTATTCTAAAATATTTCTTCCTCCCTTTTTGATGCTTTGTAACTCTGCGCGCAGCTGTCTGGCCTTTGATTTCAGAAGCCCATTAAAGTATTTGTGTATTTTCTACCATACGTGCCATGAATGAACAAGAACACTTTATTCATGATGGGTTCTGATAGAGTGGTCATAAGCCATGAGAGAAGGGTCTAGTCTTGAGTTTCCCACGCTGTATATGCTGGATTAACTTGATCTGCTACATGATCTTCCTCAGTAAGGTATCTATGAGGAATTTGTGGGTTGATTAGATAACGTTGAAGCTGGTGAGACTTTATCACTGGTTCAACCAGCTGCTTCCAGACAAGGAAGTTACTCTTGTGAGTTTTACTGTTATATGATGGGCAACGAGCCCAGATCTGGATTCGTCGGAAGCCATTTGGTAGGGACAAAGAGAGCTCTGATACCATCGAAGAGAAAAGAGGAGGAGAAGAGAAGAGAGAGAAGGCTAAAATATTGTATTTCTGACTTAATAAAAAAAAAGGCACTGTACAATACATAAATAGAGCTGTAGTGGACCTACTCAGCAAGAAAAGAAATGTTTTATAATATGTAAAGCTCATCCTATTCTAACAGATAAAATTGCAAAGAATATAATTATATTAATATTCCTAATAAGTATACTTCTCTATTACTTGTTTCCTTTTTGGATTCCAGTAGTTGTTGCTTAGTAGGAAAAAAATATTATGAGTAGATAATTTCATTAGTTGGTTGGAGGGGAGTTTGATTGAGTCTGGGTGACTTGGTGTCTAAGTTCATTGCTCCATCATGTAAATGCCATACAACCCAGTTTAGTTTGTGGAAATTTGTTTCCTAATAACATGCTGAGAGGAACCTCGTGTAAATTATCGATCATACTAATATGGAATTCGGATTACAGCTCCCGGACCCAGAATCTAGGTAGTTCTTTGAGGGGCTAGCTTCCTCCCAAATCCCACTCCTTTCTACTCAATTCTTGCCTTTCCCTTTCCTTCCCCTTCCCTTTTATTCTAACTGAATCCCTTCTCTTCCCTCATCCTTTCTTGCCATATTGGCAGGTTACAAAGTTCACCCTCTCTCGCTTTTCCCATGCAGCCCTTGGTAGGAGTAACTAATCCTATCTCTGTCGCTTTCTATCTTCCTAGCAAGAACCCAAATAATGGGAGGGTGCCTAACAACACTTCTCCCAAAAGATTCACCTTTTCTTCAAGGTGAATGGTTGGGGAAGTATCCTGTAACACTCAAGGAGCTTCCTTGGGATCCCATTGCTTGAAGCATGATGGCTGGGAGCCCTGCTCTTTGGAACCCACATTGGCACTGCTAGCTTCGCATGTGCAGCTATAGTCTTCAATAACTCCTGAGAAATTGGCTGAATTCAAACAACACAAACCTGCAGGAAACCTTTTGCATTACCTTTGAACTTAGTGCTATACATTTGGCCGTTGAGCAAGCTTGTTTGAGCTGCAATAGCTTTGTTGATGTTGAGATATATAGTCCCACATTGGTTGTGTGGGCAATTAAAGTGGCCTTTATAAGGCCTTGGGCACTCCCACCCTTTGAGCTAGCTTTTGGGGTGGTGTATCCCAAGGTTCTTAACATGGTATCAGAGTTTCGCCGCCCCTCCACTTTCTCTTGTGGCGTTTCTTAGCACAGGTAGGCTGAGCCTGTTGCATTGTCCACTCTTCAAGCCCAATGGGCTCTCGTGTGAGGGGGCGTGTTGAGATATATAGTCTCACATTGGTTGTGTGGGCAACTAAAGTGGCCTTTATAAGGCCTTGGGCACTCCCACCCTTTGAGCTAGCTTTTAGGGTGGTGTATCCCAAAGTTTTTAACAGTTGACTTAAGCAGTTAAGCCACTACAGAAGTTGGTAAGCAAGCAAGGATGTTCTTGAAGTCACATCACAATAGCAGCCTCAACCAGAATCTTTAAGGAACCATCTTCAGTCATACATTAGTCTAAGCAATCAGCTTCAGCAAAGCTAGGTTTTCCGGTTTGTAGATTGTGCTGTGGCCCAAGGCCCTAGTATTGATCCTATTGGGCTGGTTGCTTTTGAAAATTGGCTCATTTTTTATACTTTTCCCCTGCTCTTTTTTTTCTGAGACCACTTTCTTTTCCTCACTCATTTGGGCTTGGCCACTAGGTCAGACAAGGAACCCATTGGGTGTAATTCCACTTCTGCCCTCTTTCCTCCTTTACCTCACTCACAATGGCTCCTTCCGGTGCATCTTCTTCATTGTAAGGCAGGTGGCCAGAATCCTCCTTAGTCATTCCTGGAACCTTCCCACAGGTGCTATTTTGTGAATGCTCAGGTGTGTCTTGCATGGGTGCTGGGCCATTGCCCGCTGAAATCACCATATAATTGTGGTTTTGGGATGAGCATGGAGGGGACTTAGATGCATGGATAATTAGAAATGGAAATACTGGTATCAAATATGTATTAATATTTATGCATTTTGTGTTTACCCGTCCTCTAGATAGGGTGTTATTTTGGATTTACTTTGGTATTAAGCTCATGGATGTTTTCAAGGTTTTCTTTGGAAGATGCACAAAGGTTCAGAGGACTTTAATAATTATTATATTGATGTATCTCATCTGCTTTTGTGTTTTGTTCTTTCTTGGGTTCTTGAGGAGGTTGTCTTATTTTCCATAGTTATACTATTTCTTTCTCTTATTTTAATAACATTTTATTCTTTTACATTGTCTTCTTGCTGTGACATTGTTCATGTATACACATTCTACTGCATCTTGTAAATGGGATTGCCAAAGAAAATAGCAGTTGTTTGTTTTCATGCAGCATTGAACTCTAAATTTATATTTTCTCTGGCAGGGCTGTTCTGAATTAGTTGTCCAATCCTTCTATGATATTTATCAAGGACTAATTGATGACATTGTACCCTATGGAAGTGGACCCTACCTTTTATTGACGTACTTAGAACAATGGTAAATATTTTGCATTTCATGTCCTGATGTTCTTTTCCCGTCTCCTTCCTAGTCTCCCTTTTTTGGCTGATTTTTTGACTTAACGTGTTATTACATCTTCATAGTTTAAATGGTTTTTTACTTTTAAATTTGCTGTTATGATTTTATTTTTAAACATGTATAACATTCTATATATATTATCTTGGCATTATAGATCTATCAAGCTATATGAACAGGACATGCTTTAGGCAAAAAGTCTAAAAACCTAGAACCAACAACCAACCAACCATTCATTAATAATTCTATGACTTATTAGTTATTTTGCGGCTATTTTCTTTCATGTTTAATTGCGAACTTTATATTTCTGAGGCTTGTCAGATTGGAACCTGATTATTGTTTTAGGCTTTAAGCATGTTTATAGTTAAAAGAATTTGGTTGGTTTTTTCATTCTGTGCATGTTTAAAACATGTGTTCTCTTCATCAGTGTCATTCTTTATCTTTGTTAGAATATATTAGATATGATTAGATATGATTAGTCTGATTAGATATGATTAGAGTCTGTAATTATTCTAATTGTATTAGGTCTGGGCCTTTCATATAAGCCCATTAGAGTCTCTATATATTGTAACTCTCTGAATTAGATCAATACACAACATATTATTTTATATTCAAGTTGGTACCAGAGCTCTTTCGTTCTGGACTTCTGGGGACCTTCGCTTCCGCTTAGAAACCTTGTTTTTGCTTTAAAACCTAAGCCCACTGCTTAGGAGTCCTCTTTCTAGTCGTGCGTCCTTCCGGCAAGCCATCTAGGGCTGTAAACAGCCTCTAAGTAATTTTTCCAAACGCGTCAGCACCTCCGACGGCCACTGGAACCACCGCCTGCCACCAGAATCACTGTTCAGGCCACCGGAGACTTTTTCCGACCAAACTTCTCGCGATCAGGACCGTCTCTTCCCGGCGACCAGGTCTGTGGAGGTCCGGTCAGCAACGCACCTCCCACGCGCTCTCACGCGCCTCCAAGCTCCTCTGCGCGTGGGCCTCACGTGCCACCTTTTGCCGGCGCGTGAGCCCTTTTCCGGCCGGTCTTGGACAGAGAAGCTCGCCTTCTCCTGCTCTTTCTGGATCTGTGGTTGTTTTGGTGTGGGTCTGACTTTTTGCGCGCACCCCTTATTGATCGGTGATCAGGTTCGTTCCTATTTACTCGGTTTATATCTTTCTGATTTCTTATTATGGCAGCAGATGGTTCTGTTTATTCGGAGATCAATTCTCCACCTCCTCCTGTAAAAAATTCTCCTAATATCATCTCTACAAATGTTGGGTCCATTACCTCTTCAAAATTGAAGGGTTCTCTTAATTACAAGAACTGGGCCACCTCTGTTCGAGTTTGGTTCTTTGGACAAGGACATGGGAGCCACCTCACGACTAAGTCTACTGATGTCCCTAAGGAGGAAAAGTCTGATTGGGAAAAGATCAACAACCAGCTTCTGAGCATCCTCTGGCAATCTATTGATCCAGTTGTCTTGGACATCTTCTATTCGTTTCAAACTTGTACTGAAGTGTGGCAGGAAGCAAAAAACCTCTACACTAATGATGTTCAGCAGCTCTATTTCATCATCTCTCAGTTTATGGAACTGAGCAAATCATCCGACATTCAGATGGAGACATATGTTGGCAAGAGTCGATCTTTGATGCAGGCATATTTGGATATGTTGCCTTACCCTACTGATGCTACTGCATATCGGAAACAGGTGGAACACCTCTTTATGGTTGCCACGTTGTCTGGTCTCCCTGAAGAATATGATAATGTCCGAGATACTATCTTGACTAGTGGGGAGCCTGATCTTTCAATGACGTATCAACGTCTTCTGAATCTGAATAAGAAATCTGCTCCTGCATCATCTTCTGCTGTTGATTCTACTGCTCTAGTTTTTCGTACTGACTTTCGCGGGAACATTGGAGGTGGAGGTGGTCGTGGTAGAGGCCCGGGAGGACGTGGTCCAGGAGCCCCAGGAGGACGTGGCCCAGGAGGCCCAGTCGGACGTGGTCAGCGACCTCGTTGTAATTACTGTCAGCAACTTGGTCATTATGAGGAACGTTGCTACACAAAGTACCCTCACCTGCGACCTTCTTATGCTGCTAATGTAGCTCAATCGGATTTTGCTTCAAATGGTACAGTCTCTCTCTCCTCTGAAGACTATGCAGCATTCCGGACTCTTCTCAGAAAGGTCTCTCCTCAGTCTCAGGCCTCTGCTTCAGAAACTGGTAATCCCGTTGCTTGTGTTTCTCATTCTGTATCACTTGGCCCTTGGATATTTGACTTAGGTGCTACTGATCACCTCTGTGGTAATAAGGAACTCTTTTCATCCTTTACATATTCTGATAACTTACCCTCTTTTACCCTTGCTGATGGCACTAAGGCTCCTGTTCATGGAATTGGACAAATATGTCCAACCTCCTCATTGACCTTAACATCTGTCTATTACATTCCTAACATCCCTTACAATTTAATATCTGTTAGTAAATTGATCAACTCTCTTAACTGTATTGTCACTTTCTCAAATCATTCTGTTTCTGTGCAAGACCCGGGTACGGGGAAGACGATTGGAGTGGGCCGTGAATCATGGGGTCTGTTCTACCTGGTTGTGCCGAGTCCTTCCGTTGCTTGTTCTCTCACAGAATCTCCACAACTCATCCACAGTCGCCTCAGGCATCCTAGTCTTTCCAAGTTACAGAAGATGGTTCCTCTTTTGTCCGGTCTTCAGACTTTAGATTGTCAGTCTTGTCAGCAAGGAAAGCACATACGCTCCTCCTTCGCTAATCGAGTCAATAAACGAGCTGATGCTCCTTTTTCAATTATTCATTCAGATATTTGGGGTCCTAGTCGTAGTGTGTCTGTTTTAGGTTTTCGGTATTTTGTTACCTTTATTGATGATTTTTCTCGTTGTGCTTGGATCTATTTAATGAAAAACCGTTTTGAGTTGTTTTCTATTTATCAAAAATTTTCTGCTGAAATTCATACTCAATTTGGTGCCTCTATTCGTATTTTACGTAGTGATAATGCTAAGGAATATGTTTATGTGGACTTTTCTAATTTCTTAGCCAAACAGGGTACTTTACACCAAACTACTTGTCCTCACACTCCACAACAAAATGGAGTAGCTGAACGTAAGAATAGACACCTCATTGAGACTGCACAGACTCTTCTTATTCACATGCATGTTCCTCTTCACTTCTGGGCCGATGCAGTCCTTGCCTCTTCTTTTCTCATCAACCGTATGCCTTCATCTGTGCTTGATAATGACATTCCTTATCACTTATTGCTTCCAGATGTTCCTCTTTATCCTCTATCCCCACATGTCTTTGGTTGTACTTGTTTTGTTCATGATCTCACCCCTGGTAAGGACAAGTTAACATCCAAAGCTTTTAAATGTATTTTTCTTGGTTATTCTCGTCTTCAAAAGGGTTATCGTTGTTATTCTCCAGATCTTAAGCGTTACTTAGTTTCCGCTGATGTCACTTTTCTTGATCAACAACCCTTTCATTCTATCCCATCTCAGTTGTCTCAGGTTGATCATTTCTTCCTGTCCCTTTTCTTGACTTGTCTTTGCCAGCTGCAGGTACTTCTATTCTAGATTAGCAACCTATTGCTTCAATACCTGCGGACCGTCCACTTCTCACTTATCAGCGTCGTAAAACTTTGCCTCCTGTCGACTCGACTCCTGCTGACTCATTGCCCGCTGCAGTTGATTCTTCCCCTCCAGATCCTTCACCAGAGGCTCTTCCTATTGCTCAAAGAAAAGGTACACGTACTACTCGTAACCTTTATCCTCTTTATACCTTTTTGAGCTATGACCGTCTTTCTTCACCTTATTTCACCTTGTTTCTAGTTTTTCTTCTATTTCTATTCCTAAAACCACAGGTGAAGCACTTTCCCATCCAGGGTGGCGCCAAGCGATGCTTGATGAGATGACTGCACTTCATTCCAATGGCACTTGGGACCTTGTTTCTGCTCCTCCAGAGAAGTCTATAGTTGGTTGTCGCTGGGTGTTTACTGTAAAAGTTGGACCTGATGGTCATGTTGATTGACTCAAGGCACGCCTAGTTGCCAAGGGCTTTACTCAAATCTTTGGCCTTGATTATGGCGATACATTCTCTCCGGTCGCTAAGATGGCGTCAGCCCGCCTATTTCTTGCCCTTGTTGCTGTTCGTCACTGGCCACTCCTTTAACTTGACATAAAAAATGCCTTTCTTCATGGTGATTTGCAAGAGGAAGTTTACATGGAGCAACCACCTGGTTTTGTTGCTCAGGGGGAGTCTGGAAAAGTGTGTCGTCTTCGAAAATCCTTATATGGTCTCAAGCAATCTCCTCGAGCATGGTTCAGTCGCTTCAGTTCTGCCGTTCAGGCGTTTGGCTTAATGCGCAGTAAAGTTGATCATTTTGTATTTTATAGGATTACATCTCCTGACAAGTGCATCTATTTGTTAGTCTATG